GATCTGTTATTTACATCAGATGCTTTGCAATTAGATGCACATATGAAGTTACCATGTAGGTATGTTTTCTAATGCAAGTTCATTCACGGTCGAGACACTGATCTGCAGGCGATCCCGAATGGGGTACGAATGCCCCCCCAAGGTCCTTTTTAGGAGTTTTGCAGGTCGGCGGAGAACTTCACGCCAGACGCATCTCAGTTTCACCAACGCCAGACATAGGCGCAATACTGCAGGAATGTAACGTGCTGCTTTTCAGAATACAAAACTCTGCATGTTTTCGGCTCGCCTTTAACTTCATTCTGGAAGAAAAAAAAATATATGCAGGCAGGAACTTGTCAGAGGTACCATGTGGATAGGAATGCTTTGGTTGTCTCCATTTTTGGGGGGTTCTTTGAGTCTTACAGAATGGTGACCTCACAGTAACAAACAGCATTGAAGTGCTAAAATTACCCACCTTTTGGTGTGGTAAGTTAGAATACCTTGTTCTATTGACCTATGCATGCTTTAAGGTACAAAGGTAAATCAAGGAATGGATTTAACTAAATCAGATTTAGTTAAAATGGATGCGTCGATGCTGTATTTTAAGACTTTAAGGAACATGCACTGGGGTTTTGTTTTTCTTTTGATTCTTCCCATAATTTGGTCCCTGTATCAGAGTATAGGGAAAATGACAGGTAGTGAAGTCAATGCATTGCGCAACTGTGGGTCAGACTGTTTGAAAAAGGAAAGAGAACTCCATTCACTGCAGTCATGTGGATGTGAAAATGAATCAGGGCTGGAGTGGACTGCTCCTGTGATCTGAAGATGACGGGGTTCGTCCTCTTTTATACAACTTCTCCTTTGGCCGGGACATAGAGCGAGTCAGTCCTGCCCTGCAGTAGTTTGACCGGGTTAACAAGAGGAGTTTGTTGTTTAAATGACCCGGGCGGAAAGATGGGGAAATATACCAAGGCGCTGTGTGCATTGTGCTGTAAATGGCGTCCACACACCTGTAGCCCTGTGAGGCCTCTGGACAACTGGATGCAGTAAGTCGCTGGCTCCCCCCCCCCCCTCCTAATTTTTGATGCACTCTGTGGAATTTAACTTTTGGTCAGTGGGCACGTATTATTTGTGTGTAGCTCAATTGTTTTAGTATTCATTATGCTGTTTAAATGGGGGTCCGCTTTTCCGTTCATCTGTTTTTAAATTTTAAGGAGAGCTGGCTGTCTCTGTTGATTTTTGTATCTGCAGATCAGCTTACGGAATGTGATCGTTGGATAAGGGCGAGTTAATTAGTCAGCAGCAACCTTTGGCAGTTTGGTGGGATTAACGGCAGAGTAGATGCTAGCGAGTCACAGGTTCTGGTCAGCTAATTTTCCGGAGATTTTCCCTCTAAATTGGTCTTCTTCCGTAATCCGGCTGAGTTCAGTCTGGGTCGATTCTAGGTCAGTAGCTTATTCGCATTGTGGTTTTTCATTCGGAAGAGGTTGGACGTGTCGCAGGTTTAATATTTTGACATTGGGTCAGCTCGGAATGTGATGGACAGGCTGAATGTCCAGAGTGAGAGAGGAAGTGGGGACTACTAAGAGTAAGACAGCTTCCTCTTACATAGACCAGTTCCCAGAAATGTCAGATATATATAAAAAATAATGCAGCTTATTCTATGCATGAAATGTACTGATATATTGGATACGATGGTCACCACCATGCACCAGTCGTGGGTGTAAAATCCTTCTGGTTGACTGCCTGATAGGCAGAGCTCTTTGTGATTCGTTATTGATTCTATTTGACTAAGGTCTGCTAGAGATCAGTGGGGGATGACTTTTACCTGCCTGGCTTTGAACGTTTGAAGGACTGGTTGGTGGAGGGGAATCATGATCAACAGCTTTTCAAAGACTAGCAAAGTTATAAGCATTTGGAAATGTGTGCTGTTTTTTTTTTTTGTGGAAGTGTGTTTATAGATACAGGAAGACAACAGAGCTGATTTTTAATTCTGCGGTTGTATTTTTGATTCGTCAGCGGCTTGTTCTGTGGGTCATTGTTCTAGCCTGTCACATGTTTGCGAGGAAATAAAAGTCAATAGCGGCAGGCACGTGTGTGCTGAGCACGCTGCCCCTTCGCTGTGTGACCCATGGTCAGAATCTCCCGGTTTGGACTGTCTGGGGGGGGGTAGGTCTTTTTGTGGTCTGGACCTTATGAAACTGCTACTTTGTGAGTGGAGGAATGTCATTGACTGTAATTGGAATGTTCAGAAATGTTTGAGTGCTTGAACAGTGCATTGAACTGTTGGGTTTGAAATCAGCGTTTTATTTTAGCGCTTTTATCCCGTTTCGGTGTCAGGGATGGTTGGAAATAACCGCATGTCTCCATCACGGGTGTCGTCGCTTCCCTGGTCTCACAGATAAGGCAGCCCGGCTTTTCTGTGATCTTTGGGTCTGGTGGCAAACGTTGCACCCCTTTTGCGTCAGGGTGCCACCTGGCACACGTGTTCCGGGCTGATTTCTGCATAAATTCACGAGGCGAGCGTGAACGTTTGCCGGGGTGGCAATTTACAGCTCACAGTGGAATTGCTTTTGAGCTCTGTTTGGGTTGATTGCTGCAACTAAAGATCATCAGGCGCTTTAATGGTTTTCAGCACTTTCAGCTTTGACTGTAGATTTTTCTAGTCCTTTTTCCTGATTGACGTGGAGTAATATGGTGTGGTACGTCACTGACTTAGTTGTCCTTGAATTATACCTGCGCCAAATCTCAGCGGCAAGAAGACTTGTGTGGGTTGAGTTTGTACTGTTTTTGTTTCAGTACATATTGGTTTTACATCCCATAAAAGCAGCTGATGCCTGCAGCGTGCAGTTGCTAGGAGATGTCATATGACTGTCTGCTCACATGATTAAGTCTGTGCCATTGTAAGTATGGGTGGGGTGATCTTTTGTCTTCCCTCACCCTTAAGCTAGCGCGCTGATAGACTGTGAAGCAGCCTGATCGTAAGAAGCTCTGCTTCTCGGAGGGGGGGGAGTGGCGTTATAGCGAGTGTCCAGAGGGAGTTCCCTCTTCCGGGCTGGTGTGTGTATTGCATGAAGAGGATTACCCAAGATTACCCAGCATTACCCAACAGCAGGGCACCGGGGCGACTGGATCTAGCGTGACTCCTCAGAGGAAAGTCTCTGCTCTCTCTCCCCCCACGCCTGTCCTGCAGGTTGGGGCTTCCCCAACGGTATGATGGCCTCCTCTGAGTGTGAAGGGCCGCTTTCCCATGAAGTGCTCAGCACCAACGAGCCTTAATTATCCTTGTAATCATTTTAGACGCTGAAGGGAGACGTTACCCATCATTTGCTGTTTTTGTATGTGGCGGCTATTAAAAAACAAAAATCCTTCAGTCGGCAACTCGAGTTTTTCTGTCCCACAGATTCCAGTCGATTTCCTAAATCAGGGTCCTGCCCGGATCCCATCTTACTGTTCACATTCCTGTGAGATGATAACTAGCCCCCTAAAAGAAGGCCGTCCGTGGTTCTCAGCTCCGTAAGGTGATCTTTCCGCAGGGTTGTTTGTGTCCCAGCGCTCCCGATTTCACACGACGTTCCTCGTCCTGAAAACTTGCAGGGTGCGGTTCCAGCACTTTCTGCCAGACGCTGTGTCACTAAAAGCACGTGCTGAGGTGAGACAAGGTGTCACGACGGGCGTCGACCCACGCGTGACAGAGGGGTTAAGGAGGGACGAGTTTAACTCTGGAGTAAGGAGACAGGTTTACTTGTATTAGTTTAGATAAGCTGGTTAGTTGGTTGTAGGCAGCTAATAATGGTTCGCAATTGTTTTTTTCTCAAGTTATAACACCGTTTTTGGTTTTTTTTTTTTTTTTAATCCTATGTCATAATAAACATACTTGAATGATTAATTCCGGGTAGCCTTGCACAGCACTAAGTACAATATATTGGGGTATACTGTAGCTATTTGGGTATACCGTAGCTATTGGGGTATTTGGGTATACCGTAGCTATTTGGGTATACCGTAGCTATTGGGGTATTTGGGTATACCGTAGCTATTTGGGTATTTGGGTATACCGTAGCTATTGGGGTATTTGGGTATACCGTAGCTATTGGGGTATTTGGGTATACCGTAGCTATTGGGGTATTTGGGTATACCGTAGCGCTTTTGGCACATTTTGTAACCAAGACCTCAGGAGATGGGATTAGCATTTTGAAAATGCTGACAGAACATGGCATGGTGTAATGCTTTGAAGGTTTAATATAATGGAAAAATTAGGTACCCCCCCAGTTTTATTCCTGCTTCCTGAAGTTTTAGAGCGATACGTTGGTGGGGGGCGGTCCTTCGCTCATCCCGCAGTTGGGAGTGGCAGACCGCAGACAGCTCCGGAGGTCACTCGGTCCGGTCTGGGATCAGTGGGGGCTGCTGACCCGGCGCTGTGGTCCAGCCCCTGGTGACGCCTCCCATCGAGCCTTTATCCTATCCTGCTATGGCGTCGATTATCCCCCCCCAGCAACTACAAGCAGTCCCCGAAATGTTTTCCCTCCTTTCCTTTTTTTTTTCTTTTCATTTTTCGTTTTTGTTTCATGTCCAGTAACATCCTCCAATTTGGGGCGGGGGGGGGGGGGCACACGTGAGGAAAGCGAAGTGCTGGATTCGTAACTGGATTCACTGTGCATGCCCTTTGATTCCACGGTGACACGCACTACCAGCTCACGCACCCCCAACTCGGGGGGGGCAGTGCGCTAGCCGGCAGATTCTTACCGTCAGCAGCATAAAGGGGGGGTTTGTCCGCCCTTCAGAAAGCGGGCAATGTGCTCCCGCTGGCGTGGTGCCATGCAGCTGGATGGGGGGTCGACGGGCAAGTTCAACAGGGCGCTGGCTTTGCAAACGAGGGGGGTGGCGGCGGCTGCTTTCTGCCATCCTGGCCGGGGGGGGGGGGGGGGGGCTCTCTTCTGAGGCCACCGGAGGGCATCTGTCCTACTAAGAGGGGGTGTCACGGCAGGAAGGGTAGAGGCAGGGAGTTGGTGGTGGTGAGGAGTGGGGGGGCGGTGACTCCCTGGCGACGTGTCCCGGGGGGGGCGCTTTCCCGCGGGATGCGGAGCTGGCGGGCCGCCCTCAGCAGCCCTGCCCTGCTTCCCCAGGTCATCTGACAGTCTTGTGCTGCAGGACGGGCTCCAAACTGGGATAATAATAACCATTGCCCCACCGGTGCAGGAAAGCTGCTGGGACGCTTTTTATTTTTTACTTCACCCCCCCCCCCCTCTGTTGGGGAGGGACGCCAGGATGGAGAGCAGGTACGGAGATCACTTTTCCTGCGAGAAGCCGGTGTCCGAAGGCGTGCCGTGTGTGAGTGGGGACTGGACGCTCTTCTCCTCCTGTCCCATCTCCGCCGTCTCCTCGGGTTAGAATCTCCCGAGCGCTCGTTTTATTTCTGGCAGATCTGATCTAGAAAGGAGGCAATCGTGCCGGGGTGCGCTTCGCGCTGATGTGTCATGTCGAAACCCGGCCTTTAAAAATGTCACTGAAAGGCAGTTTGTTCCGGAGGAAATCTGACTTTTCTCTCGCTCGTTGTCGCATTTACTGTGATTCCGTTCCCCTGAATCGCAGCCGCCTTGGCAGCTTTCCACATGGTTTATACACATAGCTGTTGGTGTTGGATCCATTGTTTCCAATTTATTCCCATAACAAATGTGAGCATTTGTGCTAAAAGCTTCCGCATTAATATGCACGTCGTTTGTTCAGTTTCGTGTCCTGCAGACCTATGAGTCGGGGTGCACAGTAAGGGTTACTGCGTTCAGCCCTTATTTACCATCAGCTAGGCTAATCCCTCTGGCCGCTTTTGTGTTCCCTGGATCATTGTCCTCCCGCATGTGCTGGGCGGGCATTAAATTTGCACCCAGGACCAACTCCGGGCTCTTTCTTTCTCCCCAGCTGGGCATCGTCGGAGTTGGACCTTAATCAGATCCGCCTGATCGTTTACCAGGACTGCGAGCGTAGGGGACGGCAGGTCCTGTTCGACTCCAAGGCCATCCGGAAGCTAGACGCAGCGGACCAGGTACGAGGCGTGGCGTGTGTGTGTGTGCATGACGTGTCAGTGTGACATATGTGGTAAACATTTCTTGGCCACGTATGTTTCGCTTGACATCTTTAGCAATACTTTTTAATTCTCCCTTCTGATGCGGGTTTTTTGAGGTGACTGTAGTTAAACAAGCCTGCAGGGGTAGCAGTGTTAGACCCTCTGTCCTGTCATGCCCCCCCCTCACCCTCCCATCAGCATCGTAATCAGAAAAGTCTGACCAACAGAAGTTGACGTAGAGGGGGGTAGAAGTGTCTCCATGTGTTGTGATGGGGGGGTGAGGTGAAGCCTCCAGTTCAAAGCCCCCCCCCCATCCCTCCCCAGGGAGGAAAGTCACATGCCCGGTAATCCAAGTTTGTAAGCATCTCATGACAGGTCTCAGTGATCAGCTGCTCTGCGTGGCCCAAATAGGTCAGGGAGTTTACCGCCCACACGTCTGGGCAGCGCCGTGGAGGGGGGGGGGGGGGGGGCGGGGAGCGGGGGCCACATATGCTGGGTCAGTGTCAGAGAGCAGGTGACTCTCGGATGACTGGCCGAATCACTGACCGCTTTTCTTCGCCGGTGGGGTGGGGGGGTTGGGACTCCATAGGCTCCGGCCGGAGAGGGAAAAACAGGAGCGAGTTTGGCTGCGCATGCAATGTGGGGAATGCCCTGCGGGCAGCCAGGGGGGGGCCTGCATTTCTGTGTGGGCCGTCCCTTCCCAGCCTCGCACCCCGGATCCCGGATTCTTTCCCCTCGCCTCCCAAAGGCTGAAGAAGGCTTGTGAGACAGAGCTTCTGTCAGCGCAGGAACAAACGGATACTGATTACAAACAAACGCGTGCAAAAACGCTTTACGAGCGAGACGACACCCCCGTCTCGGCCTGTGCTCCGCGAGGAACATGCCTCGGCTTTTCCGTGCGTATTGTGGGTCATATAGCTGTTATTTTTGGCAGCCCGTCTGCAGAAGCACGTGGGCCTCAAGCTGGGTAAAACTCTCACACCCTGTTTCGTTATCTTAATCGAACCCCATGCCGGCCTGAAGCTCTCTCACTGACCCCTTCCACCTCTGGGCTTCTTAAACCCTGGCAGGTTTCCGCGGCAAATATCAGCCTTTATACGCTGAGGTACCGCTTTGTTTTTAATCTAGAGAAGTAAATGTTATGCGTAGATATCACCCCCTTTCTCTGCATTGGACTGCTCCAGTCCTGCTTTTCCTTGCAGGCATCGTCAGGCCGACCCACTGGAACAGGGGACCGGGTTTTCCGGCCAATATGTTAACGGGAGCGCGTGACCATGATTGTTTTTTATGTGCTGCTGGGGAGTCACGCTGGGTTAGATAACAGAGTAGCAGATCTGTGTGTGTGCGGGGTGGGGGGGCGGGATAGATACAATGGAGTGGACGCTTTCTGGGGTTGTGTGTGTCCGCCTCTGTTTCCTGTCGCATTTTAAACAGCAAGACTCAGTCTATTCATTTTCTTGGTGTGGAAAACGTGGAGAACCGATAGATTTATTTAGAAGATGCTTTTAATCTAGAGCTACATGCATTATTGGAAAAGCAACATCCCTGGGGTTAAGGGTTGTGCTCAAGGGCCCGACAGTTACATCACTCAGCCGGTCGCGGGATTTGAACCACCGACTTTCTGATCACTGGCATGGCATCTTAACCCTCTGAGCCACACTCTGCTGGTATATCACGCCCAATGTCGTGTCTGTAATCACAAGGTCGCCCGTTTAAACCCAGCCTCAGCACGTCTGCGGGTCCTTGAGCAAGGCCCTTAACCCCCAGCTCCCTGGGCGCCCCAACGGGTGGCTGCCCTTCGCAGAAGCTTACTCTGCAAAGAGGAAGTTGAGGGAGGTGTAAAGACAATTTTCCCACGGCGATTAATAAAGTATCGATTTATTGCACCATTAGGGTCTCTCGTATCTGAAGATCTGTCTTATTCTCAAATTGGGTGCAGGCAGCCTGTCAAACTCCGTCTTTTTTTAAATTTGTTTTTATTTTTTAATCCATTCCTTCTGACAGCTGTCCCCTGTCTGGTCTTTTTCGTTACCTGGGTGGCGGTCCTGATACGTGCTAGCCTGTACAGGCAGAGTAGATAGGTCGGCGCATGACGCAGGTCGGGTGCGTAGTGAGGGCGGAAGCCTCATCCGTGTACGTTTTCGTTGTCCTCCAGAAGAACAGCGATGACGCCCAGACGAAAACGCAAACCAGGTGCTATAAGGCTCATCGGAGTGGGGCTTACACCATCAACGCCCCCGGCGCGCCAGCAGCCTGCCAGCCGTGCGACGGGGAAGCCCTGCCTAGCTACCAGGTGAGAGCGCTGCCTCCGTTAACGCGTTTATAAAACCGCTCCTCGTTAAACGACCGAAACGTCGTTAAGCTAAACGGTTGCTGAGTGAAAAATAACGGTAATCAAGGCCTGACCGCGACTATGCTTTTGTACGCATTTCTTGTATACTTCATGAAGTGGACACTTAAGAACATCTTGTACACTCTCCTTCAAAGATCTCTCTCAATCTGGCGTGCGTTGTGGTCAAGTGTACGAAATTTGATTGTAAATGCTGGCTTTGATCAGAAATTAGTTTTTTATTACCGTTCGCAAATGATGGCTACCCAGGGTAGTCTCTAAATGAGGAGTGGTTGTCTTTTTCATATAAATTTTAACATCGGTCAGTTGATCCTCTGCGCGGTCCTTCGTTTTTATTCCTCTTCATCCTCCCCTCCCTTCCTCTTCCTGAACAACATGTCTCCTCCCCCCCAGTACACAAGGCCCGCCTCTGATGTCAACATGCTTGGCGAGATGATGTTCGGCTCCGTCGCCATGAGCTACAGAGGCTCCACGCTAAAGATCCACTACATCCGGTGAGGGAGTCCCCCCCCGCCACCGCACCATGGGGTTTGGGGAGGGAGTGTCGGCACTTATCCTAAAGTCACTCCCGTCTCCTCTTTCCCGGAAAGGTCTCCGCCTCAGCTGATGGTCAGCAAGGTCTTCTCCACCCGAGTTGGCAGCACCACCGGGAGCACGAGCACGTAATGGAGTCCCTCCCCCGAATAAATGTCGGATAAAGCTGATGGGGGAAACGGCCGAACCGGACCAGCACCCAAAATAAGCTCCATGTGACAATGGAAAAAGCTGAATTAATATCACGATTTACCCAAAGAGTGGAATCATTTCAGTAATATGACAATGATAATAATAATAATATGTTTAATTTATGGGGCCGATGTCTGGCTCAGTAAGATAGGACACTGTGCCTGTGATCGGAAATCCCAAATCCCAGTAATGTCACCACTGGGCCCCTGAGCGAGGCCCTTAACCCCCAGTCACTCCAGGGACCGGCTGACCCTGCCTTCTCAAAAACGTCCATCACGTTGGATAAGAGCATCTGCTAAAACTGATGCGCAATAAAAAAAAAACAATAAATAAATCTTTAGGAAAGATGAATCCAAGCAACATAAGTAACGGGTCTGGGTTCGGACGGCTCGTTAGCGTGCTGGCCTGCTCGTTAGCGCCTCCTGCTGGAAGTGGGGAGTGTTGGTCACAGAGTGGTGTGTCTGCGTCCCTGCACAGGTTACAGGACAGCTTCGAGTACATCCACCAGGAGCCGGCGGCGGGGAAGTCCTGTCCTAGCCAGAGCGGACTAGCGAGCCAGAACAGCAGCAGCATAGGTAAAGCCCACCCCCCTCGGTCCATCCGCCCCCCGCCTACATTTCTGCCGCTATTTCCTGACCCCCCCCCGTGCTTCTTTCAGGGGTCTCGCAGCCCCGCGGCGACAGGCCGCAGCTGGGGCCCCTCCGCCTCGCCCGGAGCGCCTCTTTCTTTGCAGGTTTGTGTGGAATGCCGGTGTGAGCCACACAGAGCGTACGGCCCCGCCCCCACTAACCGGCTCCCCCCCCCTCCCCCTCCCAGCCATCACCACGGCAACAGGGGCACATGGCACCGGCAGAATCAGAGGGCCGTCCACGTGGGAGAATCGCCTCGTTTCGTTTCGTTTGTGCTGAAGAGAAATTCCACCCGAAGTTTGACGTCTGCCATCCAACCTTGTGTTGTGGGTGGGAATTGCAGCTAGGTGCTACAATTCCCATTGAGAAACTTGATATTCCCCAACATGCCTTTTACCTTTTGTGTAGCAGGAACGCAAATACCAAGGAACGATAGTAAATTGATGAAAACCATCCCAATGCTGGAATGTCGTTATTGGGTCACATGATCAAGTCAGAAAAAACTATATGAAATGCACAAATTCTTAACCAATAAACACGCAGTGCCAGTTTAAGATGGAATTCCTGAATTTGACCAATCAGAGGAGTGTGTTTGATCGTCAGCATTGACAATCAAAGGTAGAGAGGAATATCCGGTGGCCGCTGCCCGTCTGCCCTCTGATTCTCTCAGGTGCTGTGCCGCACTTCAGCTGGGTTCCTCCTGTGGGCGCTGTTCTCCACCGGTCACTGTGGTCAGACCCCCAACACCCTCTTTGAGTTTCTCCAACAAAATGAGCATGACGGGATGAACTGCCTGGACACTTAACTGGGCGGTTTTCCTTAAAAATTGTTTTTATACAGAATCCTTTACAGCACTGGTGTCCCAAAGAGTAACCTGGACAAAATAAAAAAATTCAGATAGATTATTATAATACTGTGGTCTAAGCTCATAAATAAGAACTATGTCGGGGTAGATAAGTGTCCAGGTGGCCTGTAATCCTCTTCCATGCTGGATCCCTCCTTTCCCTGAGCTGTGTATTCCATGGAAGAGTCCAGCGTGGTGTGTTATCCAGTGTCCGGTTGCCAGGAATTCCCGGATTCCAGCACCTTTGCTCGTCACATGCATGGTTGCCAGATTACTGGTCTCGCTGTGAGTCGTGTGCTGTTGCCCTGCATATGTGGTGACCGCGTCACCATCCTGAAACATCCAGAGAGATCTGTGTTTGCCCCCCACCCCACCCTCGCACGTTCCCCTCTCCTCGATGTGGGCCGGACTTGTGGCGTTTCGGCGTCCGAATCACTCCGATTCACCGCGATAACCACATGTGACGCACTTTCAGCTCACAGCACCCCGGTAGACATGCCGAGCAGAGGACACAACGAAGACGGAGACAGCGGCATCGCCCGATCAGGTACTGCCTGGGCTCCTCCCACTCCCTACAGAGGCTCATTGAGGACATTAAACGTGTTTTCTCACAACCAGAACGGTCGTCATTATCAATGGACCAATGTGTTGCAAGTAACATAATCATCTGTACCTAGTTCTGATATCTCTTTAACTGCCTTAATTTGTAGGGGAAAGGTGTCCTTTAGTTGATAGGCTAACCAGAATGGTTAAAAATGCCCCCCATGTGGCTGTGTGCTCATTCACGGTCTGTCTCCCCCCCCCCCCCCCCCCAACACACACAGCCTCCCTCAGCAGCCTGTTGGTCACCCCTCTACCATCCCCAAGCAGTTCCCTCACCAGCAGCTGTGCCAGCAGCTACCAGCGACGCTGGCTGAGGAGCCAGACCACCAGCCTGGAGAACGGGCCGGTGCCCCGCTGGTGAGTGCCGATCCCCAGACGCTATCGTCTCGCGAGGCTCCAGTAAGCCCTAGGTAGATGTTCTCCGCCACCTTTATCAGCACTCCCCTTCTCGAGGTTTCCAGACCGGCCGTTGGGTCCTGCTCCACAGATGGCCCCATAGATGAACATCCAGGTGTCACATTGCAGGGGCAACGAGGAGATATTCAGCCTATCGGACGAAAGTTGCAGCTCCAACCCGGCCGTCATCCGGCGGAAGAAGATCGCCGTCAGCATCATCTTCTCTCTGCCCGAGAAGGAAGAGGAGAACAGGAGCTTCCAGGACTTTTTCTTCTCCCACTTCCCGCTCTTCGAATCCCACATGAACAAGCTGAAGACTGCCATCGAGAAGGTACGGCACAGCCGCTGAGGCTGTAGGTAGCTAGCGATAGCCGTCCCCGTTGGGATAGTCGCTCCCCAAAGTACAAAGAGGATGCGTAATTTTAAGAGGATTTTTAGTTGGAGGAATAATCGAATGATGTGGTTTTTCCATTGGAAGCTCCTGCTTGTAGGACTTTAATGGTGGTATCTGGGTTCCTATGGAAACTGAACCACATACAACCAAATATACAACAATGAGCTGAAACGTATGACTACCCCCGTGTGAAGCAAATGATGTTGGCTATATTGTAAAAATGGTGCAACATCCTGTCAGCAGTTCGTTTTTTTTTTTTTTGTGTGGTTTTTTTATTTTGTTTCCTTCCTCAACCGCTCTCACTCGCCGTATTTGACTGAGACGCCTTGAACAATTTGGTGCCTCATCGAAGTCACTCAGGTCTTTACTGCTGCCACTATTTTCTGCACCAACTACAGCTATTGAATACTAGCTTACCGTGTTTTATATCCCACACCTTGACACGCGGCGACTTTTGCGAGATGGTCGACGTCATTCACATCACACGAGGGTGGTCATTATCTTTTGGCTCGTCGGTGTCTATGAACGTTTACATATACATCATTGGTATGGAAGTTGCGTGGCAGGATGTGTGACCTTGTAACTCGCATGTTAATCGGGCGATTGCGTTTTTATAATACGCCTTTAAATTCTTAGGGATTCATTTCACTTCTAGGAGAGGTCAGAAATCCCCAGGAGACGGTGAAAGATAAACGATCCGGTTTTTATCCGTATGGGGCCTGGTGGCGCTTGCTTGCAGCATCCAGCTTGTCACTGAGCTCCGGGAAGCTAAAAGGGGTCGTGTGCTTCAAGCAGCATCTGTCCTGCTGCGACTATTTATCCGTCCCCCCCGCCCCCGATCTGGCACTGTGTTTGCCTCAGGCCGCTGTTTTTTAGCCCGTCCCTGCTGCGAACCCCCCCCCCATGCCCCAGGCAGGAGTAAGTGGCCTCTTGCTCCTCCACACGGCACTCCTCGGCTAGAATGCTAACCTCCTTTTTTTTTTTTTTCCCTCTCCTCGTTCCGCCGGCCTGGCCGCTCATGCCGCAGGCGATGATCCTGTGCCGGAGGATCGCCGAGTCCAGCCAGAGGGTGCAGGTGTACCTGTGCCGCGTCATGGATGCCCTGGGGGAGTTCCGGTGAGTGACAGACGCGCCCCCAGAGCCTCGCGCGGCTGCCCTACTTTCACGCTGAAACTCCACATCCTGCCCCCTCCCCGGAAAATGACGACTGCGTTAAAAAGTGGGGTACGGGAGCGATCAGGGTCTATCATCTGATAGAATATTAAGGACGTGATTCGCGATTGTATTGTCGTATATATAATGTACAGACCACTAAAATACCGTGAAATCCTTACTTGCATGTCTCCTTGCAGCCTGACACTTAAATGATGGTAAATGCAAGTAGGGTGGCCAGTATTAGTATTCGCATTATTAAATAATAATAATACAAGTGGAAATATAGTAATATGTACAAAGATGTAGCAGCAAAGATGATGTAAATAAGTATCTATTGCATTTTAATAATATTTTATTAACTATATATTGTACTCGTATGTTATTCTATAACATATAAATGTATCATGCTCTATTATTATTACTATGGCTATTTTAATGATTTCATACTACTGTTTTTCTAATATCGCTAAAGTTTTACAGTGTGTATCTTATGTCTGCATACTAAGTACGCAGACATAAGTATGCTAATGACTGGCATACTGAATGAAATTTTGATGGCCGGATCACAAGACGTCCAGCCGTAGATGTACGTTCTGCCGCAAGCCTTCTGAATCACATGGCCCTGTGAAGCTGGATCATATCAGAATGTGACCCCCCCCCCGTCCCCTGACAGGACCACCATTTGGAATCTGTACATGGCCCCCCGCGTCACGGAGCCCGTGTGGCTGACCATGGTGTCCCAGGCGGCTGATAAGAGCCCGCTGTGCCAGCGCTTCCTGCAGGAGCTCACCCTGCTGACGGAGCACACGGCCAAGAGCCAGTCAGTTTGCCCCCCCCCCCCCCGCCTTCCCCACGTCCAGATGTCCAGCTCTGTCCCCTCATGTCATGTGACCGCCCTCCGCTTCTGGTCCCACCTCCCCCCAGCTTTCTGGCCGCCCTGCTGACAGCCGTGCTGACGTACCACCTGGCCTGGGTGCCCACCGTCATGCCCAGTGACCACCCGCCGATCAAAGCGTTCTCCGAGAAGCAAAGGTCGCAGACTGTGGACATGCTGGCGAAATCCCACCCCTACAACCCTCTATGGGCGCAGCTGGGTGAGTGCCAGCTGCTGTCGCGGGGAACGGGCGCATTTCTGTCCTCCAACATTCTGAATAAACCCCGCAGCATCTCCAGATGAGATGTTCATGGTTCAGACAGATAGCTATGAATGGGGAGTGCTACTTTACTGCGTTGAGCGATGCTGCCTCCTTGTGGCGACGGGCTGCATTGCACCTTATCATGCAAGGCTTTAGAATAAAGTTTCGTTTATTATCAAAATATGCAGGCGTACAGTGAAACAAGACGGCGTTTGTCCGAGACTTTAACGGCTTTACGCTAAATGCGACAAGCAAGACAATAATGGGACAACACTGGCTAAATATACTGTACATAGTTCGACTTTCAACTAGGACCGCAAGGTAGGTTTGATTGTACCTTATGGTTTAGAAGCACACAGTTAAGTACTGGATTTATTGCCTGAATGTTCTATTGAGGTTCATATTGTTGGCAACATTGTTGGCATGTGGTTTTCACATTAAGGCCCACGCAGTGAGGTGACGTGGGTTGGATCTGTGCCGCAGGTGACCTGTATGGGGCCGTGGGCTCTCCGGTGAGGCTGGCGCGCACCGTGGTGGTGGGGCGGCGCCGGGAACTGGTGCAGCGCGTGCTCCAAGTCCTCACCTACTTCATCCGCTGCTCAGACCTGCAGGAGAACGTGATGAGGCACGCCGGGCAGTGTGCTGAAGCCCCCCCCGGGGGGCCCACGCTCACCACCACGCTGGAGAGGGGCGAGGTAGAGCGCTCCGAGTACGTGGTCGTCTCCGTCCGGGATGACCCCGGAAAACCTAGAGACGCGGAGGCACCGCCCTCTCTTGGGGGCCTTGGAGCGGCACCCAGTTCGGAACCCAGGCACATGGACGGGGCGGGGGCTTTGGGGGGGCTGCCTCAACAGAGCCCTGACCTGCGGGGGCCTCGGTCAGTCTGCCTGCCCCAGCAGAGTCCGCTGCTGAACAGGGTCCAATTCCGGATCGGCAGTGCTGACTCAACGGACTCTGACCTGGAGTCCCGGCAAAGAGAGATGGACCAGAGCTATAGGCAGTACAGGGAGAGTTTGGAGGAGTCTTCTGAAACACGTCCTGCAGGGGGCGACCTGGAGGAACCTCCCTCAGACTGTCAGGCCCAGGCGGGCCCTTCGGAACACTTGGTGCAGACACCTGAGTTGGAGCCCTCTAGGAAAACCCCGCCTCCGAATCCAGAAAGTTCAGCCTCCCGCCTGCAGGGGGCGACAGCGAGGCTGGGCCCGGGCAGGCTTGCTTCCTATGGGAGTGTTGGCAGGAAGCTGCCTGTCAGACTGACGGGGGACATACGCAGGAACGAGAGCTCTGACAGCGCCCTGGGGGACAGCGACGAGGAGGAGGCTTCCTCGGAACAGACGGGCATGCGGAGGGGAACGGAGGCACACGGAGGTCCCAGGGAGGAGCAGGAGCTGCCACTACCCAGGTACCTGCCCCATGTGTGAAGGAGTCTGTCACGACCTCCAATACAGCTAGGCTCCCCACTGGAGTCATTCAGGATAAATCACAGATCAGAGACAAAACCTAAATACCCTCCTGGTGTCTCTCATACTCAGTTAAATCCAGTTTATTTTTATATTGCACCTTTCACAAGACTGTAGCACCAAGGCACTAAAGTGTGTGTAGCAATCAGTTGCTACATAATTTACATTAAATGGTGCATATAAACATGGAATGTGGAAAGGTGGGAAGAGAGAATGATGACCCATGTGATTATTGTGCTGCATGTGACCTTTGAACTCCAGACAGATTTAAATCTGCCTCGTAAATACTGGCTAACCCTTAAAGGGTGGGGGTGTTAGTATGCTGTTAATTCAGCCCTTAAAGGGGTGGGGCTGTTAGTATGCTGTTAATTCAGCCCTTAAGGAGTGGGGCTGTTAGTATGCTGTTAATTCAGCCCTTAAGGAGTGGGGCTGTTAGTATGCTGTTAATTCAGTCACCAAAACATGGCTTGTATGAATGACAGAGGAACAGTCTATTTCTTTCACACACTCATAGTGAATCGCATGTTATCAGCACAAGTCTATAAATCCCCATCAGCACATTGCAGTCTAAGACACACACACTTTTCATGACTGATTTAAGTGTGATTGATTTTGTTTGTAATCAAACAGCCTAAAATACCAAAATATCATTTGAGTCCAGACTCCTGTTTTTGTGTTCGTATGTTTGTTCACACGTCTTTTGTGTTAAATGTGTCCCCAGGTCTGAAACCTTCAGCAGGCCGGACGTTAATAATTTTGGGAGGTCGCTGTTCGGCGGGTACTGTCCGCAGTACATGCCTGATTTTGTGCTGCACGGGACCGGCTCGGATGAGAGGCTCAAGCTGTGTCTGTATAGCGACTTGGAGCACACAGTACTGGTGAGTGCCCATAATGTCGCTGGATTGTGTCCGTAAATCCACTTTATCTGGTGATGCCACCTTAATGTTGGCTTGTTTATAGAAATGTAGTCCTGACTTGGCACCCTTTTGCCCTTCCGTCTTGCTTGTATGTCACTTTGGACCAAAGCATCTGCTAACCAAATAAACGTAAGTGTAGTTTTGTGACCGTCACGCCCCCTGCTGTCAGTAATGTCAATGACAATACAGGTAGTTCTTGACATAAGTAATCTGTTGCACAAGTCAAATTTTATGTAAGTTGGATTTCCCTCCCATGTCATGCAAAACACCTTATAGCAGAGAACACGTAAGCTAAAATATACTAGTAATATACATGAATGAAAAGATAAAGTGTAAATTTACGAATAGACGTGTCGCCTTTTTACGCTTCCACAAGCTCTGTGTATCTCTCTTTATTTATTTTTTTCCCTTAAGTCCATATTTACTTTAGTTGGTCCTAGACTTGGAAATAAAGCTCCTCTAGACTTTGAGAAAATTTACTTGTACGTTTATTTAACTTTTTGTCCAAAGTGACGTACAAACGAGGGTAATCGCAAATTACAAGCATACAGAGTGAACGCAACATCTTCCAAACAAAGCAAGTACATAATAAGAGTAAAATGGTTTAACAGCAGCTGTTGAGGCATTGGGGTACGTGTGTTAGAGCCTCCTTGGGTGCTCGATGCCGTTAGCGGTGGCTGCGCTGAGTTTCTGGCCCTCCTCAGCATCCCGCCTTGGACGAGCCGATCGCGGAGGCGGTGTGCATCGTCGCCGACGCTGACAAGCTGACGGTGCAGGTGGCCACGAGCCAGCGGCGGGTGACGGACTCCAGTAAGATCGGGAAAGACGTGCTGGTGTCTAGCTTGGTCAGTAACCTGCTACACTCCATACTGCACATGGCCAAGCTCAACATCTCCCCAGATTTCGTGAGTAACTTCCTCCTTCCCGGGCAGAGAGCTGCGGTGGTTCGAGGGTTTTTATGTGGAGGGGGGGTGGGGGACAAAATTCATAGAGAGGGGCCAACCTAATTAGCCAATGATATGTTTTGAATCTGTGAATGACGGGGAAGGCACACTCTGGGGCCCAATCAGCAGCCAGTGCCCCGCCCCTGTTTACAGCCTCTGGCACAGTTTTTGCTCTCTGACCGTGAATGCTGTTTTTCGCCCCCTAGTGTATCATGCACCTTGAGAATCGACTGCAAGAGGTTTACTTCAAGAGCAAGATGCTGTCCGAGTACTTAAAAGGACAGAAGCGGGTGCACGTGAAGGAGCTTAGCCTGGTACTTGGGTAGGTAACCTCCTCATTCGACCATTCACACAGTGCAAATGACAAATAGATTATGCATGACTTCCCAGTAGACTGCTCTTTACTGGGAGAGGATTTCACATGTTGTCACTGTCGCATGCTGTATCCTCTGGGTCAATTTGCAAAAAGCAGATAATAGTGTTTACTGTTTTAAAAATAGAGGATTTACCTTGAGCTGCTAACCTATGGCTGTGTTTCCCCCCCCAGTATCGAATCCAGTGACCTCCCACTGCTTGCAGCTGTGGCCAGCACACACTCCCCCCACGTCGCCCAGATACTATTGTAAATTAACCCCCCCCCCCCCTTCCAAACTGAAGCATATGAACAGTTTTCCACTGAGTACGGCACTGGATTATGAGATGAGAGAGCCTGATTTGTACGTGGTTCAGTCCTTGCATCCGGTTGTGTTCCATGGGGCAGGCGGACCTGTTCAAGCAGTAAAACGTCATACTCACTTCAGGACTTGCTGCTGAATAGTATGTCTAAGTTATCTTTGCTTGTTTAAATGTTCCTCCTGTTTTCGTGTGCGTTTTTTTTTGAGTACTTTTTATACAATGGGACGAAAACACCAAGACATTTAAGGGAATGCCTTATTCATTGTAAACGTTTACATAAATATTCAGAATGAGGTTGGCACAGTAATTGTCTGGTACAGTGTTTTTAATGTTCTTAATTTTTAATGTATTAACATTTTTTTTCCTTTGGTGAAATGGTCACAATTCAGTATGCTAATCTTACTTATTCAGGTATGGCTATTTTTCTGCAGCGTTGGTTTTGTTAAATCGGGGAGTGTCGATTTAACTAAAAAATCTAAAGTATTTTTTTTTCCGTGGGGGGCAGTCTTAAGTTTTGTGACCAGTGAGAATCCATAGGGTGAATTTCTTACTGCTCATTTTAAAGCATACTGAATGGTGAGTTATTTAAAAAAAAAAATGTTTTGTTTTTTTTTTTTTTACTCTATTTCCGGTGATGTATTTTTCATGAGATGCACAGTCTTAGAAATCCGTGGATCACATTGAGAGTGCCTTCCGCACGAGGCGAGCGGGCGGGGCCTCACCCGGGTCTCCCTGCGCCTGCCTGCATTGCAATGGACGTACAGCCGTGCGCTAACAGGATTACAATCACTGTCCGCATGTCCTGTCACCTGCATGATACGGGGAAAGGGAGAGCCTGGCCGGGGTGCTGATAAACTGGATTCTGGTCCCTGCGTCCACACGACTGGGGAAGCAATCCCTCCCGCAGCGGAGACTCTGCGATCGGCTGTGGCTCCCCCCCCCCCGACCATGACCCACTGTGACTGGATGCTGCTTGTCCCTTTAGGTCTTTTAATCGGGCCTGGTGCGTGGTTCTGACTTTCTAACACTCACGTCGCAAATGCAGACCAATTTTTTCTTTTGTACCATTTCCTACTACCTGACAGGATTTCCACCCGGATGTCTTTGCAAAAAAAAAAAAGTCTTTTGAGAAAACTAGTGGCCGTGGAAGCTTCTGTAGTTATACATTTTACACGCGTATTTGGCTTTAATTCTAGCGATGATTCTAATGCAGATGAAGCATTGCGTTTCTAACGTTTTTACACTAAACACTACCTCAGTTTGTCATCGTTGGATTGTCGAGTGTTAGCTTTTCGGAAGGTTTCTTGGTTTCCTGTCGTCATGAAAAAAAGCAAACCAGAATACTCTAATACTCTGTGTATGTGAATAGATCTCACTGTATTAGCACGTACGTGGTTTAGAAATAACGTAGACTACGATAAGCATGAGATCTGCATAATGTGTGTATGGAGAAATATGTAAATGTTAAGTTCACGAGGCTTAATTCAAGCTGGTGTTGCTTGTGATTGAAATTCTTTTTATCTTCATTCAGTATTGGTTCTTGTTTATTAAAATGCTGATAATGAACTATTATACATTTGGGTTTATGCTACTATGCATGTTTTGTTCAAATGATTTGTTCATGAACACAAAGTAATTTCTTGATTTGTTGAAAATTCAAAATGTATGCAAAGAAAATTCGTTTCCATAGATTAAGCTCAAGTTCAAAACTTCAGTGTAGAGAAACAGGCCGTAATAGTAGACATATTAAATGGTGTAAAGTTTAGTAGTAATGGCATTAGTATGTAGCATGACTTTTAAGATGTGTTTGTGTGTGTGTGTGTGTGTGTGTGTGTGTGTAGGCACGCACACACACACACACATACACACATGCAGTTCTAGGTCACCATGAACCCGACAAGATGTGTTCATAAAATGGATGGATCGAGGTTTCAACTGATTCACCAACAGACCTACCAAGAAGGCTGTGAACGCTTTTAAATGGCTGGTAGTCACACCAGAACTCTCTGCTGAGATTTGTATCTGTCTTCCTGTGGAACACTACATTTTTACTGGACTTGTATGCAGAATCAAGACAGTGTGTATGAATTGAGCACGTTTTTTTTTAAATCTAAATGCGTATGAATGTGTTCGTGGCCTGTGATGGACTGACATCCCATCTGAGGTGCTCTCTGATTCCCTGAGATGCTGAGATGGATGGATAGATGGATGCATGCATTCAAGCAAACAGCTGACATCTTTGTCAATCTGTTAGGAATTGATGTTAGCTAAAGACATTTGTTGGTAAGAAACAATGGAACTTACCCTAACTGACACGACTGTGTCATGGCTTGGACCTTCCATTGCTTGGTGTCTCACGCATGTAGTCCCCCTTTCCTGATTCCTGCATGCTTTTATGTTAAATTCATGCACCTGCAGTTCTGCATGAAGAATTCGATCAGTGGATCAAACATATTACTACCACACCTTGAGTTTTCCAGTTATCTTTGGGTCCCGTTGAATGGATCTTTGGGAGCCGTCGTATACCGGTGGTAATATGACCTCTGTAACGCAAATTTGGCATTCTATGTTATCTAAATATAATCATCATAATCCATTAATTATATTGCAGGCACTTTTAAAACCGCCATTCATAATTCATGACATAGATTACAGACATGGAATAATGCATGAAGGTTAACTGACGGGTAAAAAAACAACAACTTGACTGTCAAAGGGTTAATCTGTGCGTCTGATTCCCGAGTGCCTCATCTTATCTCTGGTTAGTGATTATCGTAGTCAGGAAAAGATCAGCCATCCTTAACGCCGATGAGAAGCAAAGACGATATTACGTTTTTACGTTGTTTTACTCAATTACGTAGAAATTTCTTTCACGATAATTGCATTTCTGGTTATTATTAATCTGATCACCGCTGAACTCATCCTGACATTTATAGACATGCATTCATAACCTCGACACGCTCAAACTCTGCCATCCGCTAATGCTTTGTCACTTTATTCCCATTTGCATCGTTAATGCAGCTATCAATAGTCATTATTTATCTTTGATATTTACTCTTATGTAACTTGTATGCTCTGCTGCTTCCATCTCTGTCCATTCTAAACATTCCATCATTGTTTACCTTTTACACTGTCTCTCAGTGCTGTTGACCTTGTCCTGTCTGTCCATGCTCTTCATGTATGTATGTAGCACCGCATACCGGGGACCGGGATTTGGTGTCACCGCGAGCAGCGTACTGAAAATGGTTGTGACAATAAAGCCCAACTTGACTTGATGGTGTGACAGAAATATATGAGGTAATAATTTAATTGAATACCGTGATGTCTCAGTGGGTAGGGCTGTAGCCTCAGGGTTGACCTCCCCCCCCCACACACACACACACACTTTTCTGTGTGTGGAGTTCACATGTTTTAGTGCAGATTTCCTCTGGGTACCCTGGTTTCCTTCTGGAGTCCAAAAACATGGAGTTTGGTGACCTGGTGTCTAGTGTGATGCTCTGGCATCCTGTCCAATGTCCCCCCCCTGCCATGTGCTCTGTGACTTCTGGCTCCCAGTTCACCGTGACCCTGTACTCTATAAGCTGTTATGAAAAATGGTGGGATAATGACATTACCTGATATACAATATGCTATTGCCTTCCGATTCCTAATCTCATAAATGCATGGGGCAGGAATCTAGAGCCAGATATCTTGTGACAAGGTCATAAAGGAGACGCTTTGCAGTATCTTCAGGTGAAATAGGATTTTGAGTGAGCTGATACCACACTTTTCAACTCTGTGTGACTGTCTAGATATAAACAGTGTGTCAAGGCTATTAACACCCGCGAAGCAGCCAGATTTCTTCGCAGTAAATTTACAGTGACTGAAAATATTAGGCTCATTATTTGATAACACTGAATACATAATCATGTATTTTAGCTTGATGTTCTTCTTGGCAGCCGTACCACCTGCAGTTCAGATGAGGTAATCCACCTGAAGATACGCAGGTTTGGGCCTGGCTGGTTCTTGGATGGGAGACCAACTAGGATAGCTTGGATTGGTTCTGGTGTTGGTGTGGCCAACAGGTTAACCTATCCTGTGGTCAGTGTGGATCCCAATGTCCCAGTGCAATGAAGGGGACACTGCTGTAAAAATGTTGCTGTCCTTCAGATGAGATGTTCTGGGATCATAAAAGATCAGTAGGTATATTTAGGGAAAATAAATTTTAAAAGTATAAGTGATACCTCAGTGTTCTGGCTAAAAATGCCTGTTCCTGATCATCCCCTATATCTAACTGGTGAATTCTCTCCTGCCCCAACGCCAATTTAGCTACTGTATAGTAACTGTGTCCTGGCACAGAATGGCTGCCGTCACACCATCGGGGTGGGGGCCACACAGTGGGGGTGGTTGAAGTGGCTCCCCATTGGTTCTGTAAAGCACTTTGAGTATTTTGAGCGCTATATAAATGTAGCATTCATTCTTTCTTCAAATTTCTAATCCCTTTTTGCATTATGCTGTCGGACAATAATAAATCAAACTTCAGATAAATGAGCTACATATGCTTCTTATTCAATTTACCCTCAGCCACTACCTTTACAAATTGGTTTGTGGAAGAATTAGCAGGAGTCAGATATGTTTGTACTATTGCAAGAAGTCTTTTCTGATACCACAGCGGAAATGCAGCATCGCTTGACTACAGCGGATATGACATTACAAATAACTAAAGTGAACTGACCATCCCTTCCTCCAAGGTTGCGTTCCTGGATGATGCAGCAATTTTCACAGCTTGGAATGTTGCAATCATAGCGAAGCGGCAGCTTGGGCAAGTCTGAGTTCAGCATTGCATAAACATTGTTCATTTCTCTGACTTCAGATAGATTAAATATCCTCAGACTTTATTCAGCAGTTATACAAGCATCTTGCATTTGTGTGCGTAGTGTGGATACTACTACTGCTAATAATAATAATAATAATAATAATAATAATAATAATAATGGCAACTGCAAGCACATCTTCATTGCTGTAAGCCACAGTAAGTCTGTACAGTTTATTTGCAAAAAGGTTTTTTCCAAATCATGTTAATCTTCTGAAACAAAGAAAAAATACCTAACAAAGGATTTTATTCCAAATCGACATTTTTACTTCAACAGTTCTGACACTGGGAGAGTGAATTAAATCATTAAATTCACATCTCAGGGATATTTCACTTTCAAATGCTGTAGTTTCTCAAACTGTGAAGGTCCGTATGAAGAACCATTATCTAATCTGGGAAGTATCTGTGCCCTCCAGTGGACTGGTGTTCCATCCAGGGTCTTCGATCCCCGCCACATGTTCTCTGCATCATATTATACATTGTACAGATCACTATACACCTTAAACTGGATTTGATCTTAATTGAGTACCATTACACCAAGACTAATGTTTACCAGAAGTCAACTCTCAGAAGTCATTCTGCTGAAATTGTGTTTAAATAAGTATTTCTCATTCAATTCAATTAAATTCAATTCATTTTCACAACAGTCGTCCCAAAGCGCTTTACATGGATGTGTTGTGATACATAAAACATCATTAGAGAGAGATACAGAATGGGAAAAAGGAAGGAAAGAAATTAAGTAAAGAAAGCCAGAAAACAGCGGAGGACAACGGATGTTTGTTATCAATAACTTTCCACGCCACCGTGCATTACATACACAGTTGGACGATTGAAATTTATCTTCGGATGAACTGAAATGCAAAATATGAGATATTTTCGGTAATTCCGAGCATGTCCGAGGCGGCAGCAGGGAGCAGAGACCCGGCGCAGGGTTCACGTCTGCCTTTCCGGATCCTTTAAGTAGGTGGCGACAGAGATTTCTTTTCTTGTTCGATATTCTTTCGTGAATTATATTGTTGTCAATGGGCTCGCCCATACGCTTTTCTCTGTCAGTCACCATGGTGGCACGAAGCGGAGAGCTTTGGCGATCGCCTTGTCTTTTTTAATGACAAACAGTCCCCGGGATATATTACACATTATTCTGCGCGTGGCGGTGAGATATATTGGACGTTTGGCTCGTGGCAAATGGACGGACTGGGAGCGATTGGGTTTCAGGCGCTTTGAACGGCGCCCTGGACTTGTTTCAAAAGCAGAATGCAGAAGAAGACGGACGGGCTGCATAGATCTTAAGTGGGTTTTTTTTAGCCGCGGTGGATGACTCGAGGGGGGGGGGAGGATGTGCTGAATTTATTTAAACTCTTGAAGTAATCGGGGGGACCGCAGAGATACACCGAGGAGGCCGATCGTCTTCTGGCAGCAGATCTAGGTGGATCCTTTAGCTTTCCTCGGGGATTGGCTGCGGGGACGAAGCACCCAAACCCCGTGGCTCCGGCTCCGGCTCCGGCTCCGGGGCACGGAGATCCGCAGATCGCCGCATAGCCGGAGCGTTTTGCCGGGGGAAAAGCCAGTAACGGGCAAGGACTGAAGCAGCCCCAGAAGTGGGAGCCGTTTTTGTGTGCGTGTGCGGCGCTGCATGCTCTTCACGTCCTGCCACCAGAAAGAATGGCGTCCTACGTGGATAACAGCTTCCGACAGGCGGTCATGAAAAACCCGGCCGAAAGGACGCAACAGGTCAGCAAACGCCGCCGTCACCCCCCTCCATTGAACCAGGGGGTTTAAATGATCGGTGGGATGCCTATTGAAGCAATGAGAGCGAAGTTTCTGCCAGCTTCTGCACTTCAGATCGCGCCCGTTTATGGTTCCTCTACCACCCTGGCACCCTTGCTTTATGTGTTAAACTTTAAATTTAGCCCGTGATCGTGTGTTTTTTAAATGCATACTCCGGATTAGTGGTGTGGGACCCATGATATGCGACCATCCGACCCCCAGATGCACGTGTTTCTGGGCTCCTGGGGTCTGTGTTGTAGCAGATGATTGGCATTCGGTGGTTGTAATAGGGGTGATGGTCTGTGTGGATGCAGGATACAAGCAAACAGTCCCACCTTGCCGATTGCCGCACTGTTGCTGCTGCCACTCCATCCCACCCCCTCAGTGTCACCGATACTTTGCTTGTGACATCTACTATCGGGGAACGAATGCACGCTCGGACATCAGGCCTTTGGCACCATAATCCTTGGGAATTGTTTTCTTTTGTTTATCATTTACATCTCAATTTAATGTTTAACCCCCGGTATATATGCTTTGACTCTTAACCAGTGTTTGCTCCCCCCGTATTGCATTGCGGTTTGGACATTTTCTCATTCACAACGAATCGCTCACGACGAGAGATTATCGGTCAACCAAGAAAATTCTCCTAATGAACCTGTAAAAAAAATGCGTGTTTTAAGTACTATGTTTTGTGACAATAGAGAAACGAGGCTCTTGGTTTAACTTGAATGATTCGGATCTATGATCGTTTAGTTTTGGATCTATTACACTTCTTTGCAATTATGTTAAGTAACGTAACAATGATTAATTTGCCGTGACTTGATAGTGGAGATAATTTAGCCTAGTCATGTCGGACCAAGGTGTCTATTAAAATGTATTTGATAAATTGGCATATGCTAGTGTTTTTCTAAGGTGTCTGACATCCACAAATTAATTTCCAAAATGGTCAAAAATGGGCTTTCATGCCATTTAAATTTTAATGTGAGGCTAGTGCATCAATGGCAGTTAAATTGATAGAAAGAGTGGGTCTTTGACAGAATCTGTGATCCTAAATGTTGAATACTGCTTATGTAAGGAGAAATGATCCTATTAATTTTGAGCGTCTTGATCGTAAATAGCGATTTGGAAAAAGTTAAATCTGCCTCCCTATTATAACGCGATATTGGAATTTAATAACGGTCCCCTGGGAACTCTTTCAAATTGAAATCCTGTTTGTGACCAGGGTAAGCCTATTACTGTAGATGGGGGGCAGTTTGACTGTCATCGAGGATGCCATTTTAATTTGGACAGAGGGACGGAAATTTCATTGTTCCTAAGAGATGTGGCAGGGGGCTCTTGCGGTGGATGTGCTTTTGTGAGCAGCCCATGTAACAAATAACCCAATCAAAATATTTTAGGAAAGCAGGTTGCCGTTTCACTTCAACAAGCGCTTGTGGTGAAAATATTTAAGTCTGCAAGAGCTTTGTTTCCAAAAGCAGCTGTCTCTTTTTAATGCAATGCTTAAATGCAACATAATTACTTGTCAGTTTCTGTTGCTTGCTTTTGCTCATCAAATGAGCTGTTTTTACATTCCGTTCTCTCTGCAGCTGCCTTTAGACAAAACCACTCTCGATATTTAACACTAACGTAACTCCACTACTCGAAACAATGTCCCCTTTGTTTTCTGTTTGTCTGACTTAAGTTGTGGCTCCATTGTTTCTGCAGTTCGACATCTGATAAACGTTTCCCGGCTTATTTTGTGCTTTCTGCGTATTTGGAGATGCGAAGGGCACACGTTAGATTACATGTCTCAGAAAAGCGTGCTGAACAATAGGCCGTTTCGCGATTGACAAGAATACTAAAATAAGCGGCTGTTCAGGAGCAATCTCGTAAATAACATGTTCTTCACTGGGGTAGGTGGAGTGTCGTCTTGCTAAAGTCTGATTCTGCCTGAATGACTAATCCCTTTGTGAGGGATGTCCCCCCCCCCGATGACTCCCACAACGGGCCTTTATTAATCCGTTATGCAGGAGGACCCAAAAAGGTATGTCAGTGGTTGTGAGAAATTGAGCGATAGCGTGGACAAGATAAATGGGTGATAGGAGCAGATTGTGCTGCTTTATTCCACCCCCCCATGGAGCATGCCATGTTTGGCGGAGCAAGGCTTTGTGTGTGCGAATATTTTTCGCAGAGTACATTGCTGGTTATGCAGCCGGGCCGTTTGAGATCTTTCAGCCTCGTGATAAATGAGTGCTCTCCCTCTGAAGGCAGTGGGAAGCTAATTAAGGATCCTTTCCTGAAAAGTGTACAGGGCTTTGCTGTGGTATTCTTCAGCGTTAATAAAGCACCGCGTCATCGTTTATTATTATTATTATTATTATTATTATTATTATTATTATTATTTTATTATTATTATTATTATTTTTGTGTGTGTGTGTTTTGTATTTTACAGTCACGTTCTTTAATTTTCACCCTGGATGGGATGCCAGCTGATCACAAGGTACACCACACACACACACACACACACACACACCAGCTGGGATTCAAACCTCTAACCAGGGAAGTGTGAACATGCAACAGTGAAAACCGCTGAGCAGATTTTCATAAGTAATACAGGGGCGGCAGTTGGTCAGTTCAATCCAGGGCAGTAAATTAGTGTACAGAAACATCCTTCATGTCCAGTAGCTGTGGATCACACTTACTCAGGCCGGTGCTGTTTCCCCGACTAAGGACAACTGCCCGCTTTTTGCGTAAAGCTCACCAGCTGTCCTGTAAATCTCTGTCACCCCCCACAACCCCAGTAACTCTGCTTGAGGACCCGTATAACTGCATTACCGGCCGTGTGATGGATCGTTATTGGGCCTTATGGTGGCGGTAGCGCCTCGAGGTCAACGACGGGGCAGCTCGTTTTCCGAGCTGGTGAGAAATGTCTCGAACCCACGACTGAAGGTGTCGAGGCAGTAAACATAAAACAGCATTACTGCGGTGACCTGTGTTCTTAGCAGCACTGTGTCGAAACTGGGGTCCCAGTCATGGTTTGGGGCATGTCAGGCACTTTACCCAGAATCCTCCCTCACTTCCTGTTGCCATGCACTTACCCATAATGCCCTGGGGATTTGACGCTGATATGTGCATTCACCCCTCACCTTCTCACCCTGCTGTTTATTTTCGTTCTCCGGTTATATTTATTAGGCAGTCAGCCCCGCTGAACCGTAAATCTTTTTTTCTTTGGTTTTAAAATGTCCAGCTGTGAAGTATCGACTGCCTCGGCCGGCTTCGAGCGGACCAATGGCCCCCTCCCCTCTAACAGTGAGGTTAACAAAGGGGAATGGGATGTAACTGGGAGAAATGACAGCCTCGGATTCCTGACTCTAATCCCCGTGGTGGTGGTGGTGGTGGTGGGGGGGGGGGCACCACACACTGCCCTGCTGCCTCGTCTACCCCCACCTTTAGCCGTCAACATACACTGATGTGACGAGGCTTGACCGAGCCGGTTTAGGGGCTGTTTCCTGGTGGGGGTGGGGGGGGGTCTGGTGGACTTGGGTGGTCAGGAAAGGGGGAAGCTTTTGTTTAAGTCTGACTCTCCTCAGCATCTGACTCGGCGCCTCAGTCCGTTGGTCTGAAGGTTCCACAGATGCCTGCAAGTCTGTTCCTGCTCTTTTATAATATTAATATAAAAAAGTCATAAAGTATGATGTACTGGGGGGGGGGGGCGGGAAAGAAGTCTTGCTTGGCCTGAATCGCGCTGAGCTGCTTTCGTTTTTATTCTGGAAGTTTACAGATCGAGGCGGTGCGGTGATTCGGTCGGTAACCGGCTGGCCTCACGCCTTCAGGGGTCGCTGTTTGTATCCGTGCGTCAAGATGACGGCGTTCATTGGGGTCTCTGAAGTGCCTCTGTTGTACAGTGTTTGTATTTGTGCATCTGTGTTCCCTTTTGATGGACTGGTGTCCTGTCCGGGGTGGGGGGCAGCCTTGTGCCCTGTACCCTGTGCCCTGTGCTGGGGGGGTGGACTTCTGACCCTGCTGTTACCTTGACCAGGATAACAGCTTAGAAGTTGAATGGAATGGGGTGGAGTTTCACCTGTGGAATCCATTCTCCTTACCCATAGGAATATTCATTAACTATGTGTATCTTTTAAGTTAGCATTTCCCATCCCGCTCCTCGGGGACCCCCAGACGGTGCCAGAGGGACCATCCCTGGGAGCCGGTTTGAGACGCGCAGCTTTAAGTGCGAGAGGCAGGCTGGACTCGACGGCGTGTGATGAGGTCCTGCGGTCTGTGCTCCTCTGTCCCATAATGCATTAGTTTCTCCGCCTGCCTGTCGGGGGGACTTGCCCTCCTGCTGTGAACTTGCCCTCCTGCTGTGAACTTGCCCTTCTCCCGCACCTGCCGTAAAGAAAAGCCCCCGTCTTGTTCTGCGCTTTGGCGAACCCCCCCTCCTCCAGTGGGGGTCACGTTTGTGGGGCGCAGGTGCTCGACTCGTAGATCTGGCTTTGGGATGCCAGCGGAGGGGGGAGTGTGTGTGTGTGTGTGTGTGTGTGTGTGTGTGTGTGTGTGTGTGTGTGTGGAGTCTTCATACCGACCCTGCAGATTAGCTTGAATGCCACACTATGTATTTTTAATCCTGTTGCCCGCGGCGAGCAGTGTGGATTCACCGCGCCGAGGGGCTAATCCCTGGATATTATGGTCTGGCGAGCTCATGGAGTCGAGAAGGCGGCAACCCCGTCGGCCATGGAGGGAGAGTGATTTGGTGGTGGGGGGTCTTTTTGTGGGGGGGGGGGGGGCAAGGACCACAGTGCAGGACTGATTCCAAAAACAGGGGAGGCGGCTGCCAAGGCTTTGTTGGTGCCCCCGTGCCCCCACCCTGAATGGGGCCAGTTCTGGAGGTAGCGCTGGTTAATTATAACCTGTGTCGCTGCTGGTGGTCGGAGGGAGGGGGGGGCAACTGTTTGCTAACTGTGGGGGTGGGGGGGTGACCCCCGCAC